CAGAAGTTCTACATTGATTGATTAAGCTCTCGAGCAACATACTACTCAAACATGTTATTGAGTAAAAGCACTAGAAGAAATGAAGAAATGAGAAGCCATTATCAGATGTTACTCGAGCCTGATCAAACAACTACATACTCAATCATTTTATCGAGTTCCTGGTACTATCTCTTCAGTTCTTCTCTTTTATCTTCATATGCATTATTGAGATTTTATAACCTATTGGATAAATGGTTTTCGGATAACGTTATGGATAAATGTATTTATCGATCACTTGATCGATAAACAAGGTTAACGTTATGGATAAATAGGCATTTATCGATAACATGATCGATAAATAGATTATCGATGAGAAGACAGATAAATGGTAATGCGGTCTACCCATTCTATGTCTTGCTTTAGTCTCCATCTATCGATCACCTTATCAATCAGTCATTTATCGATAATATAATCGAACATTGCTTCATAGCTCTACATGCAAATAATTATTTTAGTAGCTTATCGATCACCTGATCGATAATTAGCACATCGCTTTTAAACCATGATTCTTCGATCACTGGATCGATAATCTTATTATCGATAATATGATCGATCACCGCACTTCATGTTTACCTTGTTTTCACATAACGTGATCGATAAATCAGCTTTTTGGTTTTACAAGAATAGATCTTTTTATCGATAATATTATTGATCAACCTTTTATCGATCACCTGTTCGATTAATCCACATAGTCTGTGTTTTTCGCTGAATATATTCTTACTCATTGTTTATCGATAACCTTATCCATCATCCATTTATCGATAATTTGTTCGATCATCAATGACTAAAGTTTCATTTCTGTAACACTTGGATTATCGATAATCTGTTCGATCAACAAGTATTCGATCACTTGTTCGATCACTGTACAAATTCATTTCATAACAGCATTTCACGATGATTTCGAAATCTTTTATCTTTTTATCTTCAAGCTTTTCTCAGCCTTCTTTTTACACATAACTCTCTATTAAAAGGATACGAAGGCAAACGTAACGTGAAAAGGTTTATTCTTGCATAAATCATTTTTTGGTCACTATATTCATGCTTCATCATTTATCGATCATTTCTTCGATCATCACATGATCCATAACCTATTCGATAATTGCATATATCTGCTATATCTTTTCTTCATATAATTAATCGATAATATGATCGATCAAAGGATTATCAATCAAGGCATCGATTAAGTAAGTTTATCTTACTTTCTGAATATCTGAAGATCTGATGATTGATTCCATGTTTTCCAATTTATTGTTTCTAAAATTATCAGATACTTATCACTTGATTTGAGGAAGATTATTTCAGGTAAAGAGTCACAACAAATTTATGATGTGAAGAATCGACTTTCATTAGGAGCTTCCAACGGCTAGTTTCAACGGTCATATTCTTTAAGCCAAACAGGAAGAAAATGCTCAACGGTCAAGTACCCAACATCATCCATAAATAGAAGAGCATTCAAGACAAAAAGAGAGGAAAAGAGTTTGAGCTTACAACATCAAATGCTAAAATGCCGAATCAACATATTCTCATTTAGAGCTCCGAAAGAAAACTCCCTGTCTCTGTGCTCCATAGACGAAAACATATGTATCCGTAAGATAGAGAGGAGAGTTTCCCAAAACGTGCTTAAGATTCATCTATCACTTCTTTGAGAGAATAAATATTCAATCTTCATTATCATTATTAGATTGTATCCTTACGGTGAGTAAGGGGGAGTATTTACCTCGGTGTGAGGTTGCCGCTGAATAGACTGGTTAGTCTAAGAGTTGTAAGTAGCGTCACAAGTGCCTGAATCAAACTTGTGGTTGTAGTGGTTCTCAAGTACCCGTGTTAAACTTGAGGGAGATAGTTGATTGAAAATCTCAGGGGGAGCCTGGGGACTGGACGTAGGTCAGTGAGGACCAAACCAGGATAAATCACAGTTTGCATCTTCTCTTCCCTTACCTTTTTATATTTCCAGCTAAACCATTTTACTACTGTGATTATGCTTATGTCGATTCATTGTTTTTATACTCAGAATTTCTTATGAATTTCATTACATTGTGAAAAGGTTTTTAATTTTAATTAACACCCAATTCACCCCCCTCTTGGGTGTTCAGCCATTCTTACATTTGGTATCAGAGCAGGTCACTTGTTTAAAGGATCTAACGATCTCAAGTGCAAGGATCATGGCTGACTTTGAAGGTTTTGATTATACAATTCCACCATTTCTCAAAGATATTGATTTTTGGTTTTGGAAAGCTCGTATGATACGATTTTTGAGAACTATTGATTTTGATATGAGATATGTTTTAACAAATGATTTTGTTATTAAACGAAGAAATGATTGGACCGAAAAAGAAAAGAAAATGTTTTCTTTAAACATTCGAGCAATGAAAATTCTGTATAGTGCTTTAACTGAAACTGATTATGAGAAAATTAGATTTTGCTCTACTGCCAAGGATATTTTGGATACTCTTGACTCTTGTTATACTTCTAACACTTGTGTTGAAGCTAAATATGATGGCAGTTCATTTGAGACTGATCAAGAAGAGGATACACAATCATCCACTCTCAGTGAACAAATAGAAGTCGAGATCGAAGAAGGTGAAATCACACAATACTTCCATAAGGCTGTCAACACAAAAGAACAAGAGGAAGATGAGCATCAAGAAGAGCTCAATATGGACGAATATGATGAATCATTATTTGGAGCTCAAGATGCACTTAAGGTAAATGGCTCCAATTCTTCTCCTACACTACTTATGAAAAATGATTTTGAAAGTTTGCATAAAACTGTTGTTCAACCAGTCCTTGATTCTATTTTCAAAAGTAAAAATATTTTTAATCATGCTAGAAAATTTATTGGGAAGAAAGAACTTACAAAGAGAAATCATTTAAGATTGCATTCTTTTGACCAACGCAATATTTGCATAAAATCTCATAATGGATATCATTCTGTTATTTGCAATTATTGTGGTAAATCAGGTCATATTTCTCACGCATGCTATTTTAGAAGAAATCCTAATGTGAGAAATAAATGTGTTTGGGTTCCCAAAGGACAAGTAAAGTCCAACGCTAACACTCAAGGACCCAAAGCAAAATGGGTACCAAAATGTCCTTCTAGTATTTTAATTTTGCAGGATATTTCTAAGAACGGACATATTGGCCTAAAGAAGAAGAAAGTGCCTAAGAGAGCTACTCACATGATCAATATGAGAACTCTTAGAGCACCCATTGCTGGAATTACAAAGTCCAATCATAGGAAGCAATGGATACAAGCCAAAGGAGTACATTGCGCCTCAAGGATGGACTACCACAGTGTAAAATTCGATTACCTTGAGGAGAACAAGAAACGGAGGATCTCTCAAGCATTAAGCAGAAGACTTCTTGAGTCTACATTTTATGAGAGAATATTGCAAGCATCTAAAGCAAGGAATCAAAAGTCTTAACCTCACAAAAAGGTGCATTGGGTATGCAAAAGCAATCCTCCAAGTACCTAAGAAAGAAGGGAGAAAGCCTTTCCTCAAGATTGTGACCACAAAGGAATTGATGAACAAATCTTGAGAAAGTTGATCTGGTATGGTTTTTGGTGCTGAACGTGGAAAGAAGAAAAATCAATGCTAATGCATCAAAATCAAGCAAGCTGCCACAAGGACAAGAGAAAATATGGTGATATCTAATCTTTACCCTTTACTGTGCTGATATGAAATTCATATTTGGGTAATGAATGCTTGTTCCTTGTTGCATTCCATTAGCAATCAATCTTTTATGATCTTCAAGTTATTTTCTGATTGCTAAATGGACCGAAAATAAAATTGTGCATAATTATCTGTGTTTGTATTTTCAAATGCACAATCCAAATTTTTTTTAAAAACTTATTGTGAAAGTGCATACAAATGATTTCAAAGATATTTATTTTCGTTTTGCATTCAAATGATTTTTAAAATTGGAAGTTAATATTTTGAGTGCTAAAAGTCAGAAATGCTTCAAATCCTTCTAACAGAGTTTTCTCCATCTCTAATGTGTTAATTCTTGATTTTAATGTGCTATCCTATACTTGAACTCCCAAATTCTATTCTTCAACAAGTTAGACCTTCGTCTAACAAGTTAACCATCCATATGAGTTTCAAGTCTATCCTTACAAAAAGATTCCAATACGGCAAAACCTTATGCTTAATGTGTTTATCCTTATTAACTGAGTTATTCCAAGCACGATTATGTGATTAACCATTTCAATGGAATGACTCGTATAGCTTCTAGAATCTATTTAACCTACTAGTCATCTGGACTAATGAGTTAATGTACTTCATTATTCAAAAATCCAGTATTTGAGTGTGAGCAAAGTCTTTGAACCTCCATCGTGAAAAGCCTTTCGGGTAACATCTTATCCATATGACTTTTACTCTCAGAAAAACTCTTTAATGTGTTAATATTGTCATTTGACATGTTATCCGATCTGATCTTACAAATTGAAGCTATATGATATTTTCCCTCAATTTGTTGACTTCCACATTTTTTTTAAAACAAAAGTATTTACTTTTAACAAGTTTTTTAAAAACCTTTGTTTTCAACATTCATATTTTAAACAAGTGCGTTAAAAACCTTATTTCAATGGAAGCATTATTTATCTTCTAGCTTCATGTGCATATTTTTACATAACGCTCATGATTTGAATAAATCATCGTTTTCAAATTCATGATCATTCATAGCTAACCTGTTTTCATGCAAGCTATTAGTTTTTCATAAAGTTGATCTGATCAAATCTGATTTCAAAAGAATTTATGATTGATGATCTTTTAGTTATAAAAATCTTTTGATACCTTCCTTGCTCAGAAATCATATGGTTTAATCCATATAAGAGCATGAGAGTCATTATAGCTAACATGGTGTGGACCTAAGAGAAGTTGGGTACCGAAGAACTAATATTTGTGTTGTAGGTATCCTAAAGAATTATAAGATAAAATTCTCTTGATGGAGATGTCAATATGGGAGAATTGAATTTCTTCCTCGGGTTGCAAATCAAACAGAGGAAGAATGGGATCTTCATATCTCAAACAAAGTATCTTAGAGAACTTCTAAAGAAATATGGTTTGGAGCAAGCCAAGAGTACAAATACACCTATGAGCTCAACTATATCATTGGACGTGGACGAGAATGGCAAGGATGTGAACTTGACTAAATATAGAGGGATGATTGGATCACTACTCTACCTCACAGCAAGCAGACCAGACATTCAGTTTAGCGTAGGAATGTGTGCCAGAGATCATTTAGCTCCCAAGCAATCATATGAAGAAGCCGTCAAGAGAATCCTCAGATATCTTGTCGGTACACAAAGTTTGGGAATCTAGTATCCGAAGAAAGGCGCAGAATATCTAATAGGATACTCAAATGCTGATCACGGAGGATACAAAATAGATAGAAAAAGCACCAGTAGACAATGCCAATTCCTAGGAGGCTGTCTTGTTTGTGGTCTAGTGAGAAACAAAACACTGTGGCCATATCTTCTAGAGAATCAGAATACATTGCCATTACCAGCTATTGTGCTCAAATTTTATGGTTAAAACAATAATTACAAGATTTGTGAATCAAGTTGAAGGAAATCCCAATCTTGTGTGACAACACAAGCACAATTAGCCTGTTTAAGAATCCAGTCAATCATACCCGAACCAAGAATATTGATGTTCGATATCACTTCATTCGGGACCATGTTCAAAAGAAAGATGTAGAAGTACAACTCATTCCTACTGAATATCAAATAGCAGACATTTTCACAAAGCCTCTCGACCAACAGAAGTCCAAATACTTCAGAAGAGAATTGGAAATGGTAAATCCCAATGAGCTGTAAGAAATTCTGCATTACTTCTTTATTTTGAGTATTTCGATTTAATGTTTTGATAATTAGAAGACTGACTTAAGCATCGAAGAGGATAGAAATTTGTTGTGTAGGAAAGCTCTGTTTTGACGTCAAAAAACAGAGGTGAACAGAGTATGGAATGATCGATGAAGACATCGATAATCATGCTATAAGGAAAGGTTAATTTATCGATCACTTGATCGATAAATGAAGTATATAAGGCAAAAGAATGAAATTGGAGGGAGAATTATCGATAAGCTGATCGATAAGTCAATTATCAATCAACACATCGATCAAGAGCAACAAGGATTTGAGACACATCACTCAATTTGGTAAGAATTATTGATTAATTGATCGAATAACTGTTAATCGATCACATGATCGATCAACTTAGACAGGTATGACTTCTCACTGCAAAAAAAAAAAAATTATTCATAACATATTTGATCAATTGCTTTTTCGATAACGTGATCTATAATTATGGATTGTGTTTCTACTATTCTTATTCAATCATCCTTAGTCTCCATCCCATCATTTTCTGATTAAAGGGGAACTTCACATTCACATGTATCTTATAAGCTCATCTCCTTCGTCAAAATAGTATACTCATATGCATTCACTGTCAATTGATTAGTTTTGATGATGAGTTGCTTTCACATTTTCCTTTCATGATCCAATTCGAAAAACAATTTATGGAAAGGATTATGTATACATTTGATATTTGATTGTACTAACTATTCTCCTTGGAAGAAGTTGTTGAATTCATAACAGGAGAATTTGTGCTATGAAAGAAACTCCTCACTGGACTGCAAGGATAAATTATCAAATTTGAGGATTGATAATTTAATGCGCAATCAGGATATGGGGAAAAGAGAAAGTGATTGAAGATAGAAAGATTATTGGCATCAACCTTCTAAGCATAATCACCAATGCCAATATGAATGAGCATTATGCCCGACAATGGACTTGATGGATCAATTTATCAACCTGCCGAATTCAAATGAGCATTTCTAAACCCTCTCTTTTATAGTTTATGAATATTGATGCATTACATAGTTTGCGCGCACTACGAGATGAGAATGATGTAACACCTTACGTTTATGACCTTATATTGTGCCAAGTTAAGACATTCGGAAGCGCAATCTAAGGTTACCGGGTTGAAGAACCTGAATTTGAAAATTCCTTTTCCCGCATTACTATTCACTGTAACCTTAAACTTGGCATAACTTTGGAAAATCATAACTAATTCTAAAAAAATCGAAACGAGGTCGTTCCAAGTCTCACTCGAAGCTCTTAACATCATCTATCAAGGAAAAATGACCTCAGGTTCCGTTTTAATCAGAAACGCATTCGTTTTCAATTTCGAAAAGTACTGTTCATTTGGTCATTTTTCTATTTTCCAGGATTTTTGCCTAACTTCGGAAAAGCATAACTTCTTACCCAGAGCTCCGATTGTGACGCTTTACCATTCATTTTAAAGGGAAAAATAAGATCTATTTGCATGCCAAATTTCAGGGATAAAGTCAACCATTTGACTAGGGTCTTCGTTGGTCAAAGTTTGGTCAAATCTAGACCATTTTTATCCCCCTTTTTCACTAATTCTAACAGCATTTCGTTTTTCACTATAATCATACCATAATCACATGTAAAGCTATTCTATCATTAATATACATTCCAAAAAGGGTATCATATCGTGTATTTATGAACATAGTATGCTTACATGGCTTGAAAGAGAAAGGTTCAAAACCGTATAATACATTATATAATTCATAACTTCTTCAAGCCATGACTATTTCCTTTCCTTTCTTCTTGGCAGTTGTGGCACCTAGGATATCATGTTATAGGAGGAATGAGATTTCATAGAAATCCCAGTAGCATTGAACATACAACCATCAAGTCAACATGCATAAGATGTCATGCTACATGCAGTATAATAACATTTCTAGTCTTTATGCCATGCCATAATCATTCTGTATCCATGTCATCATATCATGGAACATATAATCATTCTGGTCAAAACTCAATCATGCAAGAGCCAAGGCATACATTGCAAGGAGTTCACATCATCTGTACATAAACATTCTCATGGCACATAAACACACATAGCAGATACATCAAATACAGATCAACAAAATAATTGCAGTTCACGCTACCTCAATTCCACGCTTATCGTTTCCTCCTTGTTCCCTTGCTTGAGATCCTCCTAGGTATCCAGAGAATTGCCTATCAACCATACAGTAAGGGTATGGTAAATTCCATATCCAGTATACCATTCCTTCTCAACATAATGCTACCCTTGTGCCTTTCAATTTATAATTTCTGTATACCTTTCCTAAACCTTTGACCTTGGTTTGACCAAGCCTTAATCCTCAATTAAGGTCTTGGAATTCTTCCTTAATCCATGATTAATCATGCTTTCTTGGTTAATCATTAACCCTTAATCCTTAATCCAATATTTAATTAAGGTCCTCAAGTCACATAGTCATAATCCTCTAAGATTAAGTCACTAATCCCTTATGGATTAACCATTAATCATTCTCTAATCAACATGATTAACCATTAATCATTCTCTAATCAATATGATTAAGCTTTAATAAATCCTTAATCAACATGACTAATCATAATTAAACATCCTTCAATTAGCATAACTAATCACAAATTAATTAGGGTAGCTAACCTTAATCACTTACTAATCCTTAATCAAATAACATGATTAATCTTAGCTATCACTAAACCATAATTAATCAAGGTAATTAATCCTAATCTTCCTCAAATAAATAATCAACTAAAAATAATTAACACTTAGGGAGATAAACATACCTTAATTAGCGCTTAATCGGCGATTAGAGGTGTCTAAGCTTGCTGTCTCTCTTTCTCTCTCTTCTTTCTTCCTTTCTCTCTCCTAGAACTCAAGAACACAAAATTCTCTCCCAACAAAACCACCTTGGCCGAATTCTTCATGGAAGGGGGGGTATTTATAGGCTTTGATATTTCAAAATGCCGAAAATGCCCTTCGGGAAAAAGATGCGATCTCGGCCGTCCATTTTTTTCTACTTTACACATGGACAAATCTTAGGGCACACACCATAAGAAAGTGACACATGTAGGGACACCTAATCACCATGTGATTTTCATGTGGAAAATAAATATTATTTTATTGTTTTGTCTCTTATTTCCCTTTATGCCCTTGAACAATGTGGAAAATTCCAACTTTGTCCTCCCCTTCTAATTTTGGCCGAATTATTGCTCTTAATATTGGAAAAAATATGACTCATCCAATAACCAGTGCAATCCACTGATTATTTGTGTATTTCCGGTCCGATTTTCCAATAATCCTGTCCAATTTACTGTCACAAAATTTTGATTTCAACACCTCATTAAATTCCCCTCATTCCAAGGGTAATCCATGATTTTTCTCAAGTTTTATCTCCCTCTATAATTTTCTAAATTTTATTCTGTCAAAAATCACTATTCTACCGATAATAATTCGGTAATAAATATCCTTTAAGCTAACCTCTGCACATCCAAAGGTGGGAAATAATTTTATAAATTAGGATAATATGTCACATAATTTATCCATATTTTTCCTTGAATTTTTGAGGCCTCTATATATTTTAAATAATGGAAATTGGCTAATTTTCCTTAATTAACCAAAAATTCCAATAATTACAAATAATTTCTTGATAAATTATTTTTAATCTCATATTCATCTTCTAAGCCTCAAACATTATTCTATACCCTCCTTTCTATTTTTCATGACTTTTTGGGAATTTTCAGGAATTTTGGACATTATTTCCAATACTGCCCTTTCTTGACTGATCTTTTCAAGAATGACGGTTATGTCCCTATCCTGATTTTTCCTCATAGCCTGGATCCTCTACCAGTCTACTATACTATTTGGCCTTAGTTAGTCACAAATCATTCATCAACTAGAATAAAATTATCAGGGTGTGACAAATGATATAGGAGGAAAGATTACACCCCACACGGGAGCTATGTTGTTTAAACTTTTTGCTGATGTCAAATAGGGGGAGAGATAGGCATGAAAAATATGTTGCATCTGATTTGATTTCATATCATCCATATTTTTCATAAAGGATTTGCCATCATCAAAAAGGGGGAGAATGTTAGATATGATTAGTTTTGATGATGTCAAATAATAGAGCAAAAAGTTTACATAAATTATTTATCTCATATTTTGACTAACTATCATACTTACTATCTTGTGTAGTTTCCTCAAGAAAAGAAAGGAATTATTATGTTGCACTTTGAGTTATAGAGAATGATCAAGAGAAAGAAGAAGAAGAGAGATTGAGAAAAGAAGAACTTGCAAGATCAAATGAAAATATCAAGATTCAAGTTCATAGATTTGATGTTAAAAGTTTTATACTCAATCAGAAGTTTGAATGGCTCAATCGGAAGCTCAAATGCACAAACCGGAAGTTATATAATCATATATTGAGTCACCCTTCATATACACATGGAAAATAAGCT